GCCACAATAAAATGCGGGTTAATTATCTTGTGCAGGTTACATGTACACCCAAGTACTTGTAGCTGGAGACCACTTCCACCACAGATCCTCCTATGTTCAGGGGGTGTAGGTGTGTTTGTTCCTTCTGAAGTCCACAATCATCTCCTTTGTCTTCTTCACATTGATGTGAAGGTTATTCTCTTTGCACCAGCTCTCCAGGTGTTCCACCTCCTGCCTGTAGCTGGACTCATCATTGTTTGTGATGCATCCCACCACCGCTGTATCATCTGCAAAGTTTACAATGTGACAGCCTGGATGGGTAGCTGCACAATCATACGTGAGCAGAGTAAACCTGAGGGGGCTCAACACACATCCCTGAGGAGAGCCAGTGCTGAGGGTTATGGTGGAGGAGGAGAAGTTGTGGATCCTCACTGACTGTGGTCTGTTTGTTAAGAAGTGTAGGACTAAGTTGCAAATGGAGGAGCTTAGTCCTAGTGTGAGTAGTTTGTCCATCAGGGTTTGGGGGATCATGGTGTTGAAGGCGGATGTGAAGTCCACATAGAGCATACGGACGTAAGAGTTTTTCTGCTCCAGGTGGTTGAGCGCAGTGTGGACCACAGAGGAGATGGCATCCTCTGTTGATCGGTTCTCGCGGTATGCATACTGATCAGGGTCCTCGTTGATGTTGATGGTTGTTTTGATGTGGGTCATGACCAGTTTTTTGAAGCATTTAGCGACTATCGGGGTGAGGGCCACTGGCCGATAGTCACTCAGACCAGTCACTGTAGAGCTTTTTTGGACTGGGATGATGGTGGCAGTCTTCAAGCAGGTGGGAACTGTCTCCAGGGTAAGTGAGGTGTTAAAGATGTCTGCCAGCACCTCGCAGAGCTGATCAGCACATTCCTTCAACACTTTTCCGGGGATGTTGTCTGGGCCAGTTGCCTTGTGTGGATTAATCCTCCTGAAACTACTCCTTACTTCTGCTGATGTCACGCTGAGATGCTCTTCATCCGGTGGTGAGGTGAGTCTGGTGCTGGGTGGTCTGTTCGGGTCTTCAAAGCGTGCATAGAACTTGTTGAGGGCATCAGGCAGAGATGGGTCTTTGGGGCATTGTTCGCTTCTTCCTTTATAATCTGTTATGCACTTAATGCCCCTCCACATGCTCCGAGGGTCTTGTGAGATGAATTGACCCTCGATCCTCTTTGCATATGTGCCCTTGGACCTCTTAATTCATTCAACCTTTATTTCTACAGGTAAATCCCATTGAGCCTCGAGGACTCATTTACAAGAGAGACCTGATTTAACAAAGAAAGATGACAACAATGGACAACAGCAACAACAATAAACAATTATAAAAAGTAATACTGCAGGGTTTTTTTTTTTTTTTTTTTTACAAATAGGATGGCTAAAAGAAAAAGGTAACAAAAAAAAAACAGCTAGATGCTAAGGCAAATGTAGAAAACTAAAAACAGGAACATGTCTGCATTGGTCCCTGCCAGGAGTCCAACAGATTCTTAAAGCCACTTAGAGAGGTCAAAGGTCGAGAGCTTCAGATCTTTTTGTAAGATATTCCAGGAAACAGGAGCGGAGTAGGAGAAGGTCCTTTTGTCTGGTTCAGTCCTCATTGAGGGAACACTGCAGGTAATAATGTCCTGAGAGCGCACGCTGTAGCTGCACTCACACTGAGACATGTAGGAGGAGAAGTATGAAGGCAGCAGACCAAGAAGTGATTTAAAAATGAAAATGTACCAGTGAGAGAGTCTGCGTGAAGTTAATGATGTCCAGTTAACCAGTGAATACAGGGTGCAGTGGTGGGTACGATTAATACCAGCAACCAGCTCTTTCCTTGTTCTACTCAGCTCCTCTGAGTTTCCAGACCTGAAGGCAGTGTTCCTGGCTTCCAGCAGGGTACGCACCTCTGCATTCAGCCAAGGTTTTCTGTTTGGGTAGCTTTTAAAATTTCTGATAGTGGAGACGGTGTCAGTACATGTACTAATGTAACCCAGAACTGAGGATGTGTATTGGTCAAGATCAAGCGATCCTCCATTTTCAGCAGCTTCTCTGAAAACCTGCCAGTCTGTTCGATCAAAACAATCTCTCGGTATGGGGCCACTGTCATGGATCCAGCATTTAACTTTCTTTTATATCGGTCTGGAACGTCTCAGCGGGGGTATGTAAACAGGAGCCAGGAAGATTGAGATGTGGTCTGACAGTCCTAGGTGGGGGCAGGGTTCGGCTTTGTATGCATCTTTTACGTTCGTGTAAACACGGTCCAGCATCTTGTATCCACGTGTTGGGATTGTCACATGTTGATAAAAGCTTGGGAGACAGTCCTTTAGATTCACATGATTAAAGTCTCCGGCTACCACGTAAAGAGCTTCGGGGTATTTGTTCTGCAGCGAGCTGATGATATCATGAAGCTCCTGCAGTGATTCATTAGCATTAGCGTCCGGAGGAATGTAAACAACAGAGATGAAAGTCACTGTGAATTCGTGGGGTAGATAATGTGGCCGACATTTCACTTTTATTTGCTCCAAAGCCTTCGAGCATGAGCTATTTACCACAGTACAGTTTGTGCACCAACTTTTACTCACGTAAATGCACACTCCGCCTCCCCGTGATTTCCCCGTTAGCTTGCTGCAGCGGTCCGTTCGAAAAAAGAGTCTGTCATCCAGCTGGAAGACTTTATCCGGCGTTTTGCTTGTAATCCATGTTTCCGTGAGGCAAAGCACCGCACACTTCTTCATCTCTTCTGAGGCGCCCGCTCTCAGACGAAGTAAATCCATCTTGTTGTCCAACAAGTGGACGTTTAACAGAAAGAGAGACGGCATGGGGAGTTTACCGGCTTTAGCGTTAGCTCGTAGCCTCACCATAACCCCCACCCGGCATCCTCTCCTCTTAAGCCGGGAGCAGCGCTTCCTCTTCTGCCCGCTGGAACGCCTCTGTTGCAGCTTCCAGGTAGATGACTTTAAGATCTGCATTCTGCCGAGCGTAGTTTTGAGTTTGTTGCTGATTTCTACTATATTTCGTGGAAAATCCGCTCCTATTCTCATCAGTTCGGTTCGGCTATAGTTCACACGCATAAATCGTGCGGAGTCAGGCACAGAGTCAATATCAAAACTTCTAAAAACTGGGATGGTACCGGGAGCCTGTGAAGCTGCAACTGCTCTGAGCACGGCCATCTTGGAAGCCAAGTATGGCATGCCGTTGTGTCATGTAATATGTAAAAGTGGCTATTAATGACACAATCGGCTTGCCACAGCCTGCCACCTTCGTCCAGCTCACCAAGAGCAACCGTCAAATCAGCTGCATTTCACTGTGCTGCCCCGACAAAATGCAGCTGATTTAACCATTAAAGTGCATTTATTAAGTAAAAGTTCAACTGAGACATACCTTTACTATACTTTTGAGCAAACAAATAATTGTTTTTAAGTGTTAATCTTGTTAAATTCTTGTTAAAAGTCCTCCCATGCACGCTCCTGCAGCTGCCATTTGGCAGCCAATTGATTTTTGGTACAACTCCGACCCACGTTTCCAGGTTGTCAGCGGTGAAGCATAACAAACGTGACGCACCAGTGGTGACGTATAATAGATGCGACGTATATGGCTAAGCGACGGATTTATGGTTTTTCCACTTTATTAGACATATTTGGACTGATGCAACTTATAGGGCGGAGCGACCTGTACGGTGGAAAATATGGTAATGAAGCAAAGCTGCAGAACAAGTGAAGTGATATCAAAATGGTGTGTCCCTATGTATTCAAAGGAGTGAATACTTTTGCATCCCACTGTGGCAAAGTCTGGCTGCCTCACTTCGAGTCAAAGTAAAACCGTTTTTAAACCAGACTTACTTTTGCTGTTCTTTCTTTACGTTGGAAGTTTGGAGAAGATAGCTGTTTCTTCAGAAGTCGCTGGGACTTTTTGGCCTTTTTAGAAGCTGGAAATGAAAAAACAAACTGAAAATAAACAATGAATTGATTTGAGAAACTAACAAACACATCGGGGACGTGACAGCAAGATGTTTCCTATCACTTTATTGGTCGAGACACCTCTCAATTCACACCAAAAATAAAGTAGTTCTCCACTCCTCCCAGTGATCAAGTTTCAAGTTCAAGGTTCTTTACTGTCATTCACATCACATGTGGTACACGAAGTGGAACAAAATTGTGTACTCAAGGTCCCAGTTACACCCAAAATTAGAATGAATAAATAAATTAAAAAATATATATAATTAAAAAATAAAATAAAATATATATATAGTATAAAAAGAAACGGTATACAAGATATACACTAAACACTAATAATGTAAAATAATATGGTGTATTAAACAGCAGCCCGAACGTGAGTCTGTATTGAGCAAATGGGCATGAATACAGCAACTTCAAGGCAAAGAATCAACAGCACAGTGCACTATCACCAATTAAAGTGGCATTACAGTAATCCCTCGCTACTTTGCGGTTAGTTTTTCGTGGACTCAATGCATTGTTTTTTTTTAAAGTACAGTGTACTGTACAATCTTCACATAATATTTTTTTAAAAAGTGCTGCCATTTCATAGTTTTCTTTAAAAAAAAAAAAAGTGCTGCCATTTCGTAGTTTTCTTTCATTAAGCCTTCACTGTTTTGCCAGTCTAAAGAACTATGTTACCCAGAAGCCATCAGTTCACTTCCCAGAAGTCAACACTGCTTCCAGCTGCTGCTTTCTGCAAATGGAGGGAAAGTTTTGCAGCAAAGTCAGAAGTTCTGTCAGGATCAGCTCACAGGACTGGCAGAAAGGTCTCAAATAATCCTGAAGCTGAACTCATCCTTCAAGTTGCATCTTCACTGCTGAGTAGCTGGGCTGCAGTTGATCTGGACTCAGTGTGACCGGATCCTGGGAGCTGCAGACGACAGACAGCTGCAGGGTTCAGTCAGGTTCTGGTCACGCGGTGATGATCCGGATCGGGACAGAGGAGATGGACTAAATCCTGGGCAGCAGCACACGCACATCAAGCTGGATGGGCGGTGGGCTTCAGTCATGTTGTACTGGGACTTTTTTCGTCTATTGGGTCGGACTGTAACCAAGACGCTCCTGTACTACAGAGCCTGGTAAATAAAATTTAGTAACTACATAAACTTATGCAGTATTAGCTTGTTGTTAAAAATAGTAGGCTTAAGGGTGAAAAGGACTGATTTATGGGCTTCATTGCTACAGGATAGGTCTGTAGAAGCGAACCGAGACAGAAAAGAACAGAATTGGACCAGAACCGAGCCGCTGCTGTTCTGCAGAGCTAGTTAGTAAAATTTAGCAATGTATGTTGAGTTAAAATGACATAGGTTTAAGAGTTTAAAACATTGCAAGAGTGTGGGAAGGGTTTCTAAAACAATATAAAGTTTACTGTACTTGAACTTAAACTAAACTTGAACTTGGACAATTTTATCCCTACTTCACGGTTTTTCACTTATCGCGGGGCTTTAGCGTACAGATCCACCGCAATAAGTGAGGGACTACTGTACAGTGATTATCCTGGTTAGGGATTTATGAGTCTAACAGCTTCAGGGTAGAAGCTGTTCCTCAGTCTAGTGGTTCTACACTTAATGCTCCACAACCTTCTGTCTGATGGAAACGGGGAAAAAAAGTGTGTGTGCTGGGTGAGGGGGGTCCTTCATGATGCAGGTGGGCATTTTCCTGCATCTGGAGGTGTAGATGTCAGTGATGGTGGGGAGGCTGACTCCAACGGTCTGTGCAGCCTTCACCACTCTCTGCAGAGCTTTCCCTTCTGCAGCTGTGCAGCCTCCATGCCACACGTTGATGCTTTTTTCAAGTTATGTTTGTCATATGCAGGTTAACAGTACAATGAAACATTCAGGATGAGAAGAACCGATTTGACTCACAAAAAACAAAGAACAAACAAACAAATACTAAAGCATGCAATAAAGATACAAAATAAAGTACATAAAGTGAAAAAGTAAATATAATATTCATAAGGTCCAAAAGAAAAAAATAGTAAACAACAATGTGGTAAAATATAACGGTGCAAGCAGGATGAATTTGTATGAATAAGTATTTCAGGTTCAGGGGTGTTCTGTTGTTGGACTTCTGTGATAGTCATAGTTTGTCCATCATGAACACCAAGTTTGAACATAAGTGTGTCCGTAAGTGCACTTGACACCAGGACGCTCTAGGTCGTAGCTCGATAGACTTCATAGTTGTGTCATCTGATTTGCGGCTGTTTGTTTTGGACACTCGGGTGAAGAGAGGAGCTGAGCTGTCAACTGATCAACACCTGGTATTGAGCTGGATCAGATGGTGGGGGAAGATGCCGGGCAGATCCAGTAGACCCAAACGTGTAGGGAATGTTTTCTGGGAACGCCTGGCAGAATAACCCCTCAGAAAGATCTTCAACTCACACCTCCAGGAGAGCTTTAACCGCATCCTAGCTGAGGCAGGGGAACATTGAGTCCAAGTGGGTTGTGTTCTGCAACTCAATTGTTGAAGTGGCTGCCTTGAGCTGTGGCTGCAAGGTTGTCGATGCTTCTTGTGGTGGCCATCCTCGAAGTTGGTGGTGGACACCCCGGGTTAGGGAGGCTGTCAAGCTGAAAGAGGAGTCCTATCAGGCCTTGTTGACTGGTGGGACTCCAGAGGCAGCTGAGGAGTACCAGAGGGCCAAGCGGTCCACAGCCTTGGCTGTTGCTGAGGCAAAAGCTTGGATGTGGGAGGAGTTCGTGAGACCCTGGATAACGACTCTCGGTCAGCTCAGAGGTGATTCTGGCAAAGCATCAGGTGGCTGAGGAGGGGAAAGCAGCACTTTACTAACACTGCGTTCAGTGAAGGTAGGTGTGTTCAGTGAAGGTGGGGTACTGTTGACCTCAACCAGTGACGTCGTTGGGAGGTGGAAGGAATATTTCTCAGACCTTCTCAATCCCACTGGCAAGTCTTCCATGGAAGAAGCAAAGTCGGGAGACTTTGGGGTTGGTCCATCCATAACTGTGGCTGAGGTCGCCAAGGTAGTTAAAAAGCTCCACAGCTGTAGGGCTCCAGGAGTGGATGAGATTCGCCCTGATTTCCTAAAGGCTCTGGATATTGTGGGGCTGTCTTGGTTGAAAAGGTTGACACGCCTTTGCAACATCACGTGGACATCTGGGGCAGAGCCACTGGATTAGCAGACTGGGGTGGTGGTTCCCCCCTTTAAAAAGGGGACCGGAGGGTGTGGTCCAATTACAAGTGCATCACTCTCCTTAGCCTCCCTGGTAAGGTCTATTCAGGTGTACTGAAGAAGCAAGTCCAATTTTTGGTCGAACCTCTGATCCAAGAAGAACAATATGGGTTCCGTCCTGGCCGTGGAACACTGGACCAGCTCTTTACCCTCACTAGGGTCCTCGAGGGGTCAAGAGAGTTTGCCCATCCAGTCTACATGCGTTTTGTGGACTTTGAGAAGGCATTCGACCGTGTTCCTCGGGGTACACTATGGGGGGTGCTCCGTGACTATGGGATTGGGGCCCTTTGTTACGGGCTGTTCGGTCCCTATACAAATGGACTGTAAATGGACTGTACTTATATAGTGCCTTTCTATCTTATCGAGATACTCAAAGCGCTTTACAACACAATCCGTGCCTCATTTACCCATTCATACAGCACTCTACTGTATCTCTACAAAGCTGATTGAACAAATTATTCTATTATTATTAGACTAATCAATGCTTTATCACATTCATACACCGATGGGACACACATCAGAGACAACGAGGGGTTCAGTGTCTTGCCCAGGGACACTTCGGCATGTGACTGCTGGTGGATTTGACCCCCCAACTCTTGCATTGGAGGACGACTGCTCTAACCACTCAGCCACAGCCGCCCTCAGAGCGGCACAAGAGTTTGGTTCGCATTGCCGGTAGTAAGTTGGACCCCTTCAAGGTGGGAGTTGGACTCCGCCAGGGCTGCCGATTGTCACAGACTATGTTCTTAACTTTTATGGACAGAATTTTTTGGTGCAGCCAGGGGTTGGAGGGATTCCGGTTCGGTGGCCTCAGGATTCCATCTCTGCTTTTTGCAGATGATGTGGTCCTGTTGGCATCATCTTCCTGTGATCTTCAGCTCTCACTGGAGCACCTCCAAATCTAAGGCCATGATCCTCAACCAAAAAAGGGTGGACTGCTCTCTTTAGGTCAGGTTGAGGGTGAGGTTCTGCCGCAAGTGGAGGAGTTCAAGCATCTTGGGGTTTTATTCATGAGTGAGGGAAGAATGGAGCGTAAGATTGGCAGACGGATTGGTGCGGCATCTGCAGTACAGACTCTGTACTGATCCGTTGTGGTGAAGAGAGAGCTGAGCTGTAAGGCAAAGCTTGCTGTTTCCCAGTCAGTCTACATTCCTATCCTCACCTATGGTCACAAGCTCTGGGCAGTGACCAAAAGAACGAGATCACAGATACAAGTGGTTGAAATGAGTTTCCTCTGCAGGATAGCTGGACTCTTCCTTAGACATAAGGTGAGAAGTTCAGTTATCCAGGAGAGACTTTGAGGAGAACAGCTGCTCCTCTACATTGAGTAGCCAGCTGAGGTGGTTCGGGCTTCTGTTAAGGATGCTCCCTGTGCACCTCCCTAGGGAGGTGCTTCGGGCAAGTCCGAATGGGAGGAGACCCCGGGAAATACCCAGGACACACTGAAGAGACTATTGCCCCTTTTCCACTGTGACGGTGTGGATCGGGTCAGCTCGGCTCAGATCAGCTGGTTACACGTCACATTTCCATTTTGACCATTGTGACCGGTTCTGTAGATGGGTCCAGATTCCAACTCGCCTTACCACCTGGTGGCAAATATGGTTTCTTTCTAGGAACCACAAGTAAACTTGCAGCCTGAGAGCGAAGTGCTCTGTTGGGAAAATATGGAAAAATAAGATCTGTAATATAAGATGGAGCTAGGTTGTTGAAAGCTTTGTAGGTTAGAAGTAAGATTTTGAATTC